CAGCCTCTCGGTCACGCCGAAGTCGTCCCAGTCGCGGCCGGCCACGTAGAACAGCACCTGCGCCACGGGCTGCGAGGCTGGCACGCGCGCGCGCACGATGAAGGCCCGCACCTTCCAGTTGACCGTCAGGCGCTCGGGGATGTCCAGGGTGCTGGACGGCTGCAGGAGCTCACGCGCCACCATCTGGCTGGTGCTGAAGGGCCCCAGGGACACGTTGAGGACCGGCAGCTCCTTGGTCTGGAACACCACGAAGGGTTCAGAGCGTTGCAGGGAGCCGTTGGTCACCGCCGGCGACGGGGGCTGCGCCTCCCGCAGGAAGAAGGCCAGCCGCGTGTGCGACAGGCGGTAGCTGACGGGCAGCACCGGGCTGGCGGGAGGCCCCAGCGGAGTGGGGCTGGCCGGGTGGGAGCGGCTGGAGGCTGGAGACAAAGAGGCGTGCAGTTAGGAGGACCTCAGGGCCCCTAGTCACCCTGACCCCTTCCTAGACAGAGGGCGTCTGCTCTTCAAGCCCTGCCGGTTGCCCCTGGCTCTGGGTACCAAGCCTGGCACTGTCTTTGCTGCCGTGCCAATTACCCTCTCACCCCGGCATCACTTCTGCTCTACAACCTAGGGGTGAAGCTAATCTCCCCACAGAGCCTTTTGAAGCTTCACCGAGATTCTGTACTCTGGTGTCTGCAGGCCCACCAAAGGACTATGGAGACTTGTTTCGGCCTCCAAGTGCCCTTGGGAGGGCTTTCGAAATCCGGTGTACAAAGGGCGGGGCAGGGCTCCAGAGCCAGGTAGTGGTAACTCTCACTGGGACCTGCACCTGCTGCAAGGTGTGCTCAGTGCTTGACCAGCACCTGCTGGTGAGAGCCTTGGATCCAGCCTTGGAGGGAGGACTGTTATGATCTCCATCTGCGCATTTTCTCTGTCAAGAGCTTTGTTTTTGAGTGCCCATTCTTACACCTTACAGATAAAAGCACTAAGGTGCAAGGCACACACACAAGTAATAAATCCAAACCACATGGGCAACAGGGTTGCTGCAACTGCAGCAAGACTGGAACCTGGGGCCATCTGCCTCTCAAATCCTAACCCTTTACTGTACCTGCTATCTCAGATAGTGAAGTAATGGCAAACCTTTTAGGGATCATGACCACAGCACAATCCCAAACCTCCTTATCTGTCACAAAGTGCCAACGCTGCAATGAAACCTGAATACTGAGATTTTAGTTAAAATAACTCATACACTAACATCTTTCATCCTAAAAGGAAAACAAATAATATGAATGCTATAAGTTGGTATAGACTGGTATAGGGTCTCCGGCATCTCCCCCTTTTCCCTCTTGCCACACTTCATACGAACAGGAATTCTCAGTTTCTCAGACCTAAAAGTGGACCTTGAGTTTAACATCCCTTCCCAGTTCCTTCCTGCCCAGGAAGCTGCCAAATCCTAGGCTGTTGGCTTGTTGCTCTGTCCCCTCACTGGCAGAACCCTGTCTCTGTTCTGGCCTCACTCTTGGCGAGGTGACGATGTAACACTGCCTAACTGTGTCACTTGTGAGCCTGTTCCACTCTCTCATTGATATTCCTTTGTCTCCATAGTGGCCAGAGTGGTCCACCCTGCACACAGTTGGGACCTTGTTGCTCCTCACTCATAGCTTGACACCTGGTGGCACCATCAAGGACCAGAAAAGATCCAGAGTGGAGGCCTGAAGCTTGAGGCCATCTTGCAGGTCTTCTCAGGAACTTTCTGAGTCCCATCCCTTGAATTTAAAATCAGGGGGATGATGGTGCTGGTCTTGCAGTGTGCCATGTTGCCATTTGTTTTGAGAATCAAATAGGAAAATTCTGTACATTGTGCGGCACAATGTAAATATGTACAGGTATTATTAAAAAATCTCTCCTGCTTGCATACAAAATAATATCCAAACCCAATTCATTCCTGAGTGTGGCGTTCAAGGTCCTCTAAATGTGGCCCCAGGTTCCTCCTTCCCCTGGCTCCTCTTCCTGAACCCCCACTGGCTGAGTAACTGGCTAGCTCACTGTCATCACTATGCCCCAATATTGTCTCACCTCCTCTGCTCTCCCCACTACATTCAACTCTCCTCTTGTGAACCTGAATCTTCTCCCCAGGTCCAGCTCCAATACCACCTTCTCTAGGAAGCCAATGAGGATGTTCCCTCAGCTCCTGGGAATTCCCCTACTCTGTTATTCTCAGAGGGTCCTCTCACTACCTCCTGCCCTGGGAGCAACTTCTGTACCAGGCCCTGTCCCAAGCAAGCCTTCAACAAGCCACAGTCGATCACACAGTTGACTGGGTGACTTGCAGACGACTCTACCTCAAATAGGAGGGCCTGAGTCAGTCCTAAGCACAACATGCGGCTCCTGCAGAGTCATCATTTTACTACTGTGACTTGAACCTTGACAGTTTCCAAACATTCACACCTGAGTCCTCATCAGAAGAATGAACTAAGAATTCCCTGCTTGCACGGACCCAGTGTCTCCAACTTATTTAAAAAATCTGAGGGTTAATTTCCTCATTAAAACATAAGGCAATTGGCTTGAGGTGCTGCAAAGGCCCTGCAGGTCAGCTATGAGAGGAGTGCTGCTCTCTCTCACCACTCCTCCTTTGGGCTCCTCCCTAGCAGCCCTGAGGACTCGCCGAGTCCCTGCCTCCCCGGGTGGCCCATCATCATGGGGGGTCTCCACTGCCACCCAAGAGGCGCAGCTGCAGCTGGACACTCTGCAACCTGCTGGGGCAGAAGTGGACATTGTAGTCTGAGATGAAGACAGGAAGATGTCTACAGGGAGAAGGAGAGTCTTCCTGCCAGGTGCCTGGAGTCCCTGCCCCATGGTTGTGCTGATTTCTGAGGAGGTGTCCCTGCACCCTTGTGACAGGCCCCAGGACATGCATGTGGGAGTTCAGGCAATGTCCTGGGCCTGGGAGGCAGCAGGAAGCAGGCCAATGGAGGCTTTCCACTCTAGGTCAAGGCCTCTCCCTGCCACGAGCGCCCTAGGAAAGCTGCTTCCCATTTGGAGCCTCAGCTTCTACCTCTAAAATGACCTCAGCCCCACCTACCTCACAGGGAGGGTGACAGTGGCTGAAAGATGGTACAGGACATGCTCAGTGAACTGCAGAGCAGTCCACAGGAGTTGGGGCACTGCTTACGTGGTGGGGATGTCCAGGGCCTGTGGCTACTGGGTCTGGGCTGAGGACTTGTCACCGTGCTTGTTCCTTGGGCTTAGAGAAGGGCAGCTGAGCTAGGTAGGCTATGAGTGTTCAGGATGTAGGGTGGGGCAGAAGAGATCAGAACACAGACTCTGCCCTCCATAGCCATCCCCAAGAGCCCCCAGAGGCTACTAAGGGGCACTTAGTCCCATTGGCCCCTCACCATTCTAACCTGATGGCTGACCATCTGGATCCCTTAGAGGCACAGTGGGGGTGTGGGGCACCAGATGGCACTGGACTCAGCGGGGCGTGAAGGAAGGGATTGGGGTGATGTGTTTGCATACCCGCTCTGCCTCCTGGGGTGGAGAGCTGGTGTGGCAAAACCAAGATCCTAGATTAAACTGCTCTTGATGCTCTCTGAATCTGCTGAGCCAATGTTTCTGCCTTGGGCCTCAGGTGTCTGCTGTTCCCTTTGCCTGGAACTTTCTCCTCTTGATAGTTGCACATCCCTCTCTGTCTTCCCAGTCTACCCAGGACATCGGCCCTGATTATCCTGTCTACAGGGTCATGTCACAGCCCCCTTGATCTCTCTGCAGCCCCTTTCCTGCTTCTTTTCCTTCATGGCAATCATAGCCACCTAACTTCATAGGAAACGCCCGTGTCTGCTGCTCCTGCCCACTGGGAATTGATCTCCCTGCTCACACAGCCATCGTCCTGCTCCCTGACCGACTCGAGTGCTCAGTACATGGCCTAGCACATAGTATGTCCTCTATCAGTGCCTGCTGCGAGAATAAAATTCTCTGAACGAGCTGCCCAACAAGCTGCCCAACACTGACTGGGATTCGTAGGGGCAATGAACTCCTCATCAATGAGGCATCCGAGAGGACACTGGATGGCCACTGGGGGAGGGTTCCTAGCACTGGACCTAGTGGCTCTTGTTCCCTTTGAACAACCTTGCAGGTGAAGATGCTCAGTTTTTCACGGGGAAATATATATATCAGCTAGTTGGGCTGGTGTTTTAGCTCAGTGGTGCCACGCCTGCCTCACAAGCGCAAGGTCCTGAGTTTGATCCCTGGTACTGAAAAAAAAAAAAAAAAAGAAAAAGAAAAAGAAAAGTAAGAAAACAGCTAGTATTCAGAAAGGGGAGGAAGATGATGGGATGTTACAGTTTTTACATTTATGTCATTAGGACACAAAACACCACACTCCTGGCACCTCTGTGCATCACTCCATCCTTCCAGGGTCCGAGGACTTTCTGTGGGTGAGGCAGGATGGGTCCCCAAGGGCCTAGCACTAATTAATCTCTGTTCTCCCACTCGTTTGTTCTGCAGCCAAAAAGGAGATGCAGGTTTTCAGGGACACTGTGTACCTGTACATCTAAATGCGTGCCTCGGTTTGAGTGTGGACATGCTAATTCACATGCTGAGCTCTCGCCACTGCGCATCATGGAGCTGCCTGAAGCCACCTTGAAGGAGGACAAGATGGGTTAGGGGTGGGAGATCAACACGGAGACCAGAAAGAAATCAGGCCTGGCTCAGAGGCAGGAGAGAAAAGTGCTTCGGAGGTGTCAGGTGGAAGTGACAACTTGGACTCACCTTGGACACACTCGGCACAAAGGAGTTGCCAGTCACCTCTACATTTTTTGGGGAGTAGGTGCATGCAAGCCCCCCACTTACATGTCTCAGAAGGTGACTATTTGGAGCTAGGGTCTCTAAAGAGAAGCCAAAGCTAAAATGAGGTTGTAAAGGCCCTTACTTGAGGGTGATTGGCATCCTTACATGGAGAGAGCAGGACAGAGATATGCACAGAGAGAGTTGGGGTGAAGCAGAGGGGCCAAATGGCAGGAGGGGAGCCCTCCCCACGAATGACCTCGCCACGCCTGGACCTCAGGCTTCTGGCCCTCAAAACTGTGAGAAGAAGCATTTCAAGTGCCTAAGCCGCACCACTGTGGCACTCTGCTAAGGCAGCCCCTGCAAACTTACACATGGAGATTGGCTATTTCTGCCCCTTACTGCTTCAGTTTTCCCAGGAAGATGCGGAAGTACCATTCAGGGGAGGAAGAGATGCAGAGATCACCCAGCTTTTGGAGATGGGAGAGTAATGGCGATGGAGGTGTTCTCAATTCTCCCCAGCATCCCCGACCCCTACTGAACTGTGCTTAGCAAGTGACCCTTCCCACAGGGGCTGGACCAGCTCCATCCACCCCACAAATGAAAGAGGCTGAGGAATGAATAGCAGCTCCGTGGGTCCCCAAAAGGGCATCCCATC